AAATTCCATGGTAAAATAGTTAAAGATCATTATGTCTGCAACCTTAAAATGGTTTAGATAAATAAATGACAAATAGTCACTTATGTGTATGTGTGTGTAGAGAGAGAAAAACAAAGCAAAACATTAACAATCTGTTCACTGGCGCTGGCAGGTGGCATGGTAGTTAAGGCACTGGACTCACACATGGCCAACCATGGTCTGAGTCCCAGACATGGAGACTTGCTTTCTCTCTCTCTCTCTCTCTCTCTCTCATTCTGGTCAAATTAAAACATGATAATAATAAATAGAATTAAATAATTATTTTTAAAAATAATCTGTGTATCTGTATTAATGTTTACCACTCTGATGCTTTTCTATAAGTCTGACTTTTTTTTAAATAAAAATAAATTTTTAAAACTACTTCTTAGGCTTCAATCAGCAGTGCTGTGCCAGCAGGTGGCATAGTAGTTAAGGCACTGGACACCCTCATGGCCAACTATGGTTTGAGTTCAGGATCTAGCAGCTTGCTTTCCCAATTTTTTTCTCTCTCTCTGTCTGTGTCTGGTTAATGCATGTACCCTACAGCAAATTTAATAATAATAATAAATAAATAAAATTTAAAAACTCTCATGTGAAATGTTTCCTCGCTCTCTCAGATAAAATGATACTGCTTTCTGCAAACTTTAAAGCATCAATGAAAGAAATTAAAGATGATACAAATAAATGGAAAAATATTCCATGTTCATGAGATGGAAGAATATTGTTAAGATGGTCATACTACCAAAAATGATCTACAGATGCAATGTAATCCCTATCAAAACTCAAATGATATTCTTCACAGAAACAGAAAAAAAATCATATGGAACCACAAAAGATCCTGAATAGCCAAAGCAATCTTAGGGAAAAGAACAAAGCTAGAGACACCGCATTATCTGATTTCAAAATACCCTATAAGCTATAGTAATCAAAACAGCACTACAAAAAAACAGACACACAGATCAATGAAACAGATTAGAGTGCCCAGAAATAAAACCATGTATTTATGGTTAATGGATCTTCAACAAAGATACCAAGAACACACAATGGGAAAGGGACAATCTTTTCCATAAGTGGTACTGGAAAACTGGATATCCATATGCAAAAGAATGAAATTAGATCCTTGTCTCACACAGTGTACAAAACAAACAAGCAAAAAAAAAACTCAAAATAAAGACTTAACATAAGACCTGAAACTATAAAACTACTAGAAAACATAAGGGAAGTTCCTCCCTCCTTCCCCTCCCCCCCATTTTTAATTCCAGAAAATGTAGGATTGCACCAGAGGAAAAAAAGAGAAAGAGAAGGGCCTCCCCCGCAGTGGGCTCTAGCCATGCTAAAATCCCCTTTCCTCCATTTATCCATCTGGTCAGGATCCTGGGCTGGTGCGCACATGTTCTTGGTATGCTTTTCAAGCCACTGGAGCCCATATTCCAACTGCAGTCAGCCATGTGGGATCCAGTCCCCACGACACTGCATTTAACCACTGGGAGACTGGCCTTTTTTTTTAAAGTGTGTATGTGTATACATATACATACATATATCGATTTTTTTTTCCCATAAGGGAGAGTGTGAGACAAAGAACAAGCACATATCGGACAGACAAAGATGGGCACTAAATCTAAACAAGGTTGTGCCATGATCCTCTACTTCCCAGTCCTCCAGCTACTTAGAATCTTGGACATATACGCCTGCTGTATTCCAGGTTGACTCAGGATCTAAACCTGTGGTCAGCCATTTGGCTTCCAGCACTGCAAATCAGTTTACTATTGCCTGCACCAAAGTGACTGGGTCAGAAAAAGCTTCTTGAGATGAGTCTGAGCAATGCTTTTTTGGGATATGACCACAGAAGCATAGGCAATAAAAGCAAAAATAGACAAATGGGAGTGTAGCACACAAAAAAGCTGCTGCACAGTAAAGGGAACAATCAACAAAGTGAAGAGACAATCCATGGAACAGGAAGAAATATTTGCAAATCACACATTTAATAAGGGGTTAATAGCCAAAATATATAAGGAACTCAAATAGCTTAATAGTAGGGAAACAAATAACCTGATTTAGAAATGAGCAAAGAATCTGAATATACATGTCTCAAGTATAACAAATGGCCAAAGGGTATAATAAAAAAATGCTCAACATTAATCACCAGGGAAATGCAAACTGAAACCTCAATGACATATTACCTCACACCTATTAGAATAGCTATTACCGAAAAGACAAAAGATAATAAGCATTGGTGAAGACATTCAGAAAGTACACATTGCTAATGAGAATGTAAATTGGTGCAACCATTATGGAAAACAGGAAAAAGTCGTCTTTCTTTCTCTCTCTCTCTCTCTCTTTCAAGAAGTTTTTGCCTTAGGGTGTGTGCGCTTGCCAGGTGACAGACAGTGACAGGCAAAGTAAGAAATCACCCCTAGTGGGGATAGCCACACTGCCATCTCTTTTCCTCCATTCTCCTCCTGGGATCTTGGGCATGCATGCACATGTACCTGGCCCTAAGTCCAGGACTGAAAGCGTGGTCAGCCATGCAGGAGTACAGTGATGTTAACTACCACACCATTTGCTGGCCCCAAGACTTCTTTTTTTTTTTTTTTAGAATTATTTTATTTCACTTTGTTTATTATTTTCATTTGACCAGAGAGGGACAGAGTGAGAGAGAAAGAGGAAAAGTGAGAAAGCAAGCTGCCAGGTTTGGGACTCGAACCATGGTCAGCCATGTGGGAGTCAAGCGCCCTTAACCACCACACCACTGCCACCCCCCGCGCAGGGCTTCTTTAAAAACCAAAAACAGAATATAATGATCTAGCAATCCCACTTCTGGGTAGATATTCAAAGGAAATTAAATCAGTATGTTGGAGACATGTCTGCACTCCCATGTTCACTGCAGCATCATTCATAATAGCCAAGATACGGAATCAAGCTAACTATGCTCCTGATGGATGAATTAATCAAGAAAATGTGTCACACACACACACACACACACACAAAAGAAAATGTGTCATACACACACACACACACACACACACACACAGGAATACTTTTTGGCCTTTAAGAAGAAGGCAATCCTGTCAACTTGTAATAGCATGTATGAACCTGAAAGTTCACTATGGTGAGGTAAGTCAGACACAGAAGGACAAAGACTGCCTGATCTCAGTTACAAATGGGATCTAAACAGGTCAAATTCACAGATGCAGAGAGTAGAAGACTTGTTGTCAGGGACTGGGTGGATGGGGGTGATGGGAGATGCTGGTCAAAGGACCCAGCACTGCAGCAGGCAGGACGAATAACTCCTGCACAACACGGTGGTGGTACCTAATAGTGTATGACATACTTGAAAACTGCTGCGACAGATCTTGAATAGTCTCACCCATACACACACTGTATGTGAGGTAACGAGTATATTAATTTTCTTGATTAAATGATTCCATAATATGTACATATATTAAAACAGCACGCTGTACAGTGAAAATATTTTTGGCAACTATACCCTATACAGCTGAGGGGGAGGAGAAGGAACTGGAGAAGATGACCTTTCTCTGGATATGGCTTTTTTTTCTGTACCAGAGGGCACATACATGTGCATAAGAGAGAGTGTCCACATACATATTTCCCAACAGGGTTTGGTCATGCCACTTATCGTCTTTCTTCTGATTCTCCATCCCACCAGGATCCTGGGCATGTATGTAAGGGCCTGGTATATTTTTCTAGCTGCTGGGGCCAAGACTTGAACCCTGGTTGGCTGTATGGGATCTAGCTTCCTCTGCCCAGCACTTAACCACTGTGCTATGGGGCGAGCCTTCTGTATATGTCTCTTTAAGTAGTTCTGACTTTTGAAATTATGTTAATACTTTAAATAGTAAAAATAAATAAATAAATAAATTAGAAACAACAAGGATGAGAAAACATCTAAAATGAAATACAAACAGGAAATAAAAAAGCAGCTCACTACATTATTTATTTATTTTTAAAGTTAATTTTATTCAGGGTAGAGAGCATGTACACACCCATGAGAGAGAAGCACCCTTGACAGGGCCTTGTCACAATCCCCTTTCCCTGGTCCTCCAGCTTGTCAGGATCTTGGGCATGTGCTCACCCACCCAGGGTTTACAAGCTGACCTGGGAACCCAAACGTGCAGTCAGCTTCCAACACCCAGTTCAGCTTGCTACCAAATGTGCCACCAGGCTGAGCCCCTAACTATATTTTAAATGAATAAGGAAGGACAGAAACTAACCTCCATAACTTTTGTGCATAGTATTTTTCTATATATACTCCTAACCTAAGACAAAAAGATATACATACATTAAACCCTCCCTTGCTTTTCAAAGCATTACACAGAATGGATGCTGCCTTCTCTAAGCTACTGTAATGATTTTATTTTTATTATAAAATGCCCTGATTGAGTTGTATTTATTGGTTTAAGCATTTATCTTATTCGATGAGATGGAGAGGTTCTTGAGACAAGAATTTAAATTGCCTTTCAAAATTAAATACTGGAGGAGATTCTAATTCAAGGCGATTTTAGGTTGGTGGCGTAGTATTATGGGGTAGTTTTATTCTACCATTTGGGCTCAAAGTAAATCATGGCTAGATAATATCCTTTAGATGGGAAATAGAATAGAAAATGAACCTTTGGAGACCAGCCTTATATCCTTGTGGTTAGGGGAGCCAGATCTCACATGGCCGACTACAGTTGTAATCATGGCCCAGGCGGTTTGGAAAACAGGCTGGGCATGTGCGTGTGCATGCTCCAAATCCCAACAGGATGGGCAAATAGAGAAGAAGGGACTGCAGCATGACCATGCCCCAAAGGAGGATGCGTTCTCCTCTCTCTCTAGCAAGTACACATGCCTCTGGTAATAAAAGGGAGGAAGGAAGGGAGGGAGGGGGGAAAGGAAGAAGGGAGGTAAAAATTAAACCTTTGGTTTGGAGGATAGTATATCCTGGTTGTCAATCAATGTTCTGTTCTGTTCCTTTATAAAAGCTTCTGCTGCAGGCAAAGCTGGAAAGCCCACTGCTGGTCCTAAGCAAATTCACAAAAGAGCTACAGTGGGTGTGAAGGAGAGGTCTCGGGAATGTCAGAACCTACAATGTCTGGGATCTGATCCGCAGGTATTTGTCTTATTACTTTGAACAAACATACCGTGGAGGGCAGCCCTAACTTAGGTTGGCCAAAGGTCTGATTCTAAAACCTGTGTGTTAAAAGATCAAATATGTGGGAGCCAGCCTGTGACCTAGTGGGTGAGGCACCTGGATCCCACACGCTAACTATGCAGTTCAAGTCTCAGACCTAATGGCTTGAGAAACATGCCTAGCAAATATGTGTGCATGCCCAGAATCCTAGAAGAAGAGAAAGACAGGGGAAAAGGGGTTGAAGTTGGACCATCCCTTATGGGGGGAGGGAGGATGCTCTCTCACTTTCCCTGTTTCTCTCTCTGGGAGGGCACATACCTTCTGGCAATTTTTTTTAATTGGATGATACTGGACAGTGGTACATTGTAAAAAGCAATGCTCTGTGAGGCTGACCCACATGGGAAGGTTTGGGGTTTGCATCTGGAGACCTCTCTGAGGAGGCCGGGCACGCATGCACCCATGATCTTGGACTGGCTGAAGCTGGGAGAGGGTCACAGCACTGGGTTCCTGTTAGGGATGCTCTCTATCTTTTTCTTTTTCTAAAATAATTATTTAATTCCACTTATTATTATTTTTAATTTGACCAGAGAGAGAAAGAGAAAGGGAAAGTGAGAAAGCAAGTCACCAGGTCTGGGACTCAAATCACAGACAGCCATGTGAAAATCTAGCACCTCTAACCACCACGCCACCTGCCAGCCCCTCTCTGTCTTTGTCTCTTTTATTTATGGAAGAAATACATAAATAAATAAACTTTTTAAAAGATGGAGAATAGAGGCCAAGCCATGCTCTTCTCTTCTCTCTATGCTGGCTTTGATCAAGGATCTAGGAAGGTGTAATGAGGAGACAGCTTCCATCCCCCTCTCTGCCCACTCAGCTTACTTATTCTTCCACATGGAAGAAAAAAATACTGCCATAACTGATGAGATGGGTACAGGGCTGCTGCACTCTCACTGCCCAGGCTCCCTTTGAATCCCTTTTGGAGCTGTCTGCCCCGCAGGCCACGTGCATCCTTCTCTCCCCCACGCAGTATCAGGCAGCGTCACCAGTCCTTGGCCTGCATCTAGAGGGAAAGGCCAGTTCATGGAGTAAGAAACAAGAAGCCTATTCTGGCCCCGACTCCAATCCTCCTTCTTCAGAGTAGCTTTTGTAGTGATGAAGCTGATATGTTAGCCCCAGTCTGACTCCTCTGCCTGTATTATCTGTATCTGGTTCAGGACTTAGAAAAGGACAATGAAGCCCCTCTGAATCCCAGCAGTACATGGGAGCCCAGGGCCTCTCACGGCACTCACTCTGTTACAAGCCCACCATATATATTTTTGTTTTCTTGAACTCATCGAGCGTGTGGCACACAGGCATACACTGCTCGAGCTCTTATGGGGGGGGTGTTGTTTTTCTGTAACTGTACAAAGTGATGTTTGAAGCTTTTCTCATTTGTCTGAGGGCACTGAGGCTGCAAGGAAGCTGGCTTTCGTCAGCAGAGGAGAGAGCTGTGTCTTTGTGCTCCCTCCGATTGCAATGCCAGGGAGTGATATCCCAGGGGAGCTGTCAAACGGCTTGACAGCAATTCTAACAGGAAGGTGGTAGAGACACAATTTTAGCCAAATGATCAAACACTTTTTGAAATTTTCCTTTATCCTTGAAATGCCTTGTGTTGCTGGAAATCTATTCATTACCGTTCATTCATCTGTAGCGAGCCATCTCTTTATGTATCTGTACACGGAAGTTAGCACCGGGAGGATTTTGGCAGACAGACAAAAGGCTCCTAGGCACAGTGGGAGGGCCCAGGAGGTAAAATAAACAACAGTCCCAAGGACTTAGGAGATTTTTCAAAAACATTAAAAGAAGCGGAAGCAACAAGAAAATCATCTTACCCAGAGGGGCTTTGGTTTTCTAAAGTGGACAACACAGCCTTTAACATTTCTACCATGATCCTCTCTTTGACACCATCTCTCTTATCACTTCCGTAAGTTTCCTTCAATTATCCATTTGCCCTCCAGGATACTCAGCTTCTCCCTGGCTCTGCCGCAGCCTCCACCCCAGCCCATAAACACGCATTAAGTCTCACATCGCTAGGAACTCCAGCTTCCCACAGATGCCCCCCTCTCTCCTCCATGCAGCTGAGCTAAGAGCCTACTCAGGTGCCACCTGAAGCATGGTCTGTGGGGCAGCAGCATCACGGGGGAGTGTATTGCAATGCAGTGCCCAGGCTCCCCAGACCCACTGACTCCAAATCTCTATGCATGGGGCCTGAACCTGTGTTTGAACATGCTCTCCCGGTGATGTTTAGCTCACTCGAGTCTGAGAAGCACTGTCAAGACCTCTGATCTCTGCTTCTCATCGCCGTGACTGTCTTCCTCTGTCCCCTAATGTTCTCACTCCCCAGGGCTCTGTCACGGCCTTGGCCTTCCTCCGCCATACTCTTTCTCAAAGTGATCTCAACCGCTGAAAGCCTGACTTGGTTATCTGTTTAAACACAGGTATATACCAGTGCTTCTCAAATTGATGCCTCCCTGGCCTCGCTTTGGAACCCCCAGACTGTCCAGTTGCTTTCTGGACCCCTCTTCCTTCCCTCCCTTCCTCTCTATGTCCCGATGTCTCACTATGTCCCAATCCTCCTGTCTAGGCCTCCTAGGTAGCTGAGATTATAGGAATATGCCATCATGCCCAGCTTTTTACAGTGGGCTGGAAGAAAGGAATGAAGGAGAGAGAGAGAGAAAAGAAAGGCAGGCAGGAATACAGGCAGGCAAAGGGAAGGAAGGAAGAACGAAAGTTTAATCTGGCTACCCCATGGCCAATCTAGTTAACAGATAAACATAATCATCACAAGGACATGTGACTAAACTGAGCGAAGCTTATATTCAGGATAAAGGGATGAAACGTGCTGAAAGGAAGGAGGTTATCGTATAGCTCTGAAGTTCTCTGAATTACGATCTGTCACTTTTCTAGCCTTTAGCTCAATTTCAGATACAGGCCTCACCACCAAGCAACTTCACTGCACATATACTAAATGGATCAGTGGGTCTCAGACCTGAGCATGCATCAGAATCACCTGGACAGTTTGATACGGTGCAGATTTCTGGGCCCAACTCCTAGAGTTTCTGACTTAGTAGCTTTGGGGTTGAATCTGATATTTTCTAGTGCTTAAAAAGAAAAAAAAAAAAGAGAGAGAGAGAGAAATTCCCAGGTGATGCTAATGCCACTAAAGTGGGACTACACTTTGAGTAAATTTGAGACTAACTGCTACACCTAATGACCTTTACCACCAAGAGAAACTAATCTCATCTGCTCTAAGAAACCCATATTATCAGGAAAGCAAGTAATCATTACAATTACACACTTCACCAACCTCCCCCCTCCAAGCTACTTAAGGCAGGAAAACATCAGCTGGATATGTAAATGTTCAGTGTTAGAAAAGCAAGAGGAACACAAGCTATAACACGCTGAATTCTGTTCGTCTATGAAAAATCACTGCAACGAAGCCAGAGTACTGGTGCAACAAATAGACAGAACATTTAAGGGACAAAGAGGTGGAGGATTCTCTGTTGATGGTGACATACATAATATCTCTGACTGGATTGGTGTGTAGTGTATTTATGCTGGGAAAATTCTTTTTACAAGCTGTAGTGATGGACAGTGATTGAATGTATAAAATTAAAAAAAAAAAAAAACCACTCCCATAACTCCTGTTCTCCTTGGGTTCCTTTCTCCTCACAGTGAGGTGTCAGTGGAAAGTGGCATTTTAGGAACTGTTACTTTTATCCTAGTTCAGTGATTGACGGGTTAACATGAGGTAAATTTGAGTAAACGGTCTGACCAATATTTATAGAAACATTTACAGCAGGAGATTTCAGGAAAGGGATTATGGGTTTGTTCTTAGTCTAGTCTCTCCTTTGTGTTCCCAGAAGTCTATGAGACTACCCGAATAGCAAAATAATGTAGAGGTGGTAGCACTCTGTGATGGTTAATTGTATGCGTCAACTTGGTTGGGCCAGGGGGTGCCCAGACATTTGGTCAAACATTATTCTGGGTATGTCTGTGAGGAGGAGGTTAATATGTCAATCAATAACCCGAGCAAAGCAGATTCCCCTCCCTGCTGTGTGAGGGCCTCATCTAGATAACTGAATACCTGAATAGAACAAAAAGGGTAAGAGAACTCTTCTGCTTGAACCCAGACACTGGCTTTTTCCTGCCCTCAAATTTGGACCAAAACATTGAGCCTTCTTGAATCTTGAGCCTGCTTGGCTTTTGGATGGGAATTTATACCACCAGATTTCCTGGGTCTCTAGTCTACCAACCGGAGATCCAGGGACTTGTCAGCCTCCATTATCACATGAGCCAATTCCTTATAATAAACCACACACACACACACACACACACACACACACACACACACACTACTGGTTGTTTCTCTGCAGAACTAATATAACATTGGATGAAAATTTCTTTCTACTTCACTAGAAATCAGTATTATTCCTAGCAGCCTCTCCAAAAGTCACTTTAAATGACATCTGCAACTTGGCATCTCAGTAGAGGTGATTCAGACTCAGTGACTCAGAGGTGATTTCAATCCTATTGTGCTGTTGGCCCTTAAAGTGAAGTCAGCATTGAGACTTGCTGCTAGGGGACACATGCTCACTGAGATGCCCACTGTAATATCCTGGGTGATATAAATTATTCTCTGTTATTATCTAAGAGTAAAGAAGTTAGAGACAAAAAACAGAAACAATATTTGTAGTTTTCATATCTGGAAGGATTCTGCTGCATTTCTATCTTTTGTCTTGAATCTTCTGTGTGTGCTACTACAAAAATGATAATTTTTGCTACTCCATGTCTCCCTGATTTTGTACAAAATACACACACACACACTCACTCATAACCTTGTCAAACTTTGAGGCATACTTTTGAAAGTAGAGACACTGTGGAGGATATATCAAGTAATTTAGTAAGAGTAATAGTGTTATGCAGGAGGTGGTAACTGA